AGCTTATTAAGTCAAGGCCGCAGTGAGTTGAGATTGGCCTCTGCACTCCAACCTGGGTGATAGAGTGAGACTATGTCTCAAAAACAGACAGGCCAGGTGTGGTGGCTCATGCCTGTAATCCCAGCACTTTGGGAGGCTGAGGCAGGCGGATCACCTGAAGTCAGGAATTCAAGACAGACCTGGCCAACATGTTGAAACCTCATCTCTACTAAAGATTAAAAAAAATTAGCTGGGCATGGTGGTACATGCCTGTAGTTTCAGCTACTTCGGAGGCTGAGGCAGGAGAATTGCTCGAACCCGGAAGGTGGAGGTTGCAGTGAGCTGAAATCATGCCACTGTACTCCAGCCTGGATGACACAGCAAGACTCTGCCTCAAAAAACAAAGAGAGTTGGAAAAAAGTCCTGCTTTATCTTCATAGTTATTGCATAAGAGTTCCTGAAAGCAAGATATGATACTAACAATGCTCTTGTCTGAAGAACTATCTTAATGTGTGACTCAAAAAAGTATTGAGGACCCACTGTGTGTCAGGTCTGAACCATGACTAGTGAGGCTTCAGCTCGGATGGCCCCTCCAGTAGCCCCTCTTTGGGCGGTCCCCACAGGTCCCTTCCTCTAGGAGTCCTCGTACAAACTTCCTGGTCACTCCAGCCAGTTCTCCCGGCTCCCAGGCCAGCTGGACCTGTGGAGCAGGCCTCCCACTCAGCCCTTCCCACTTGGCTTCTTCCACTGTCCTGTTGCTGAGAAAACAATTCTGGAGCTGGTGACCATGTAGTCACTGACTCTTGTGTGGAACCTCCACTTCAGGTGGCTTTCCTCTAGTTAGCTAATAAAACAACTTTTGGCCAGGTGTGCCTTTTCAACTCCGTTAGCAAATTGTGTTTATTAAATGTCCTTGTATATAAATAAGTAGTCCCCACTGTCCCATGAATTAAAGGGGAATAATTCATCTCAGCTTCTTGGATTTCTTTTCCTGTATGCCAAGTAATTTCACATCTTTCCAGAAGACCAAAGGTCTGAGCTAAAATAGAAAAAAAAAAAAAAAAAAAAAAAAAAAAAGAAAAAAGAGAAAGAAAGAAAAAAAATAGAGAAAAATGTGTGCAGTGCTGACTTTTGAAGTATAACAAGCTTGGCTACTCACCCACACAGTTTCTCACATCTGTGATCTCATTTGCTTCTCACTCTAACCCCATGAGCTGTAAGAGACTTGGAAGGGGTTATTACTACCTTAATTTAAATATTACAAATGAGGACACAGGCTCAGAGTGATGAAGTGATTTGCCCAAGTCACAGGAAGTACGTGGTGATGTTGCCAAACTGTCTCAGGAATTCTGATTCCAGATTCTCTGTTGATTTCTGTGACATCAGGTTGCCCATTAGAATGTAAGTGTTAAGAAGGGGGCGCATTTACAAAACAGATTTATTTCTACAGTGTATGTTGATAAGGTATGTTTAAAATAGAGATCTAGAGGAAAACTTTAGGACAAATATGTTCAGTGCAATTGTTGTTTATAATAGCATTAAGGACTTGGTTTAGGTGTTGGTATGTATTCATGTGCAATGTGTACACATGTAATTACACAGGGAAATCACAAATGTGAGTTTTCCCTTTTTTTGAGACGGAGTCTTAAACTTGTCACCCAAGCTGGAGTGCAGTGGTCCTATCTCGGCTCTCCAAACCCTCCGCCTCCCGGGTTGAAGCTATTCTCCTGCCTCAGCCTCCCAGGTAGCTGGGACTACAGGCGTGTGCCACCATGCCCAGCTAATTTTTTTGTATTTTTAGTAGAGATGGGGTTTCACTATGCTGACCAGGCTGGTCTCAAACTCCTGACCTCAAGAGATCCGCCCGCCTCGGCCTCCCAAAGTGCTGGGATTACAGGCGTGAGCCACCGCACCCATCCAAATGTGAGTTTTCAAAAGCAGAATATATACATAAAAACACACAAACCAAGACCAATAATTATATATATTCAAATACCATATTTCAGGAAATTTCCTAAAATTTTATCTGTGACTATATCTCGTTTTGGGATATATAGATAACTTTTATTCTCTTCTCTATTTCTATCAATATTTTCCATATCTTCTTATTTATTTATTTAGAGAGAGGGTCTCACTCTTTTGCTCCGGCTGGAGTGCAGTAGATCACATCAACCTCAAACTCCTGGGCTCAAGTGACTCTCTTGCTTCAGCCTCCCAAGCAGCTGGAGCTACAGGCTTGTGCCACCACACCCAGCTACTTTTAAATTTTTTTGTAGAGACAGGGTCCTGCTATGTTACCCAGGCTGGTCTCAAACTCCTGAGCTCAAGTGATCCTCCTGCCTTGGCCTCCTAAAGTGCTAGGATCACAGGTGTGAGCCTCCTGCATGGACAGGGTCATAATGTGCCAACTTAACGGGGACAACCTTTACAATGACAGAAACGCTGGCCAACATGGTCACAGTAGAGTAGTACTGCCCTGAGTCTTCTTCCCTATGCGTATATAATCATGATTCTCCCAGCATGGCAGACTGCTTTGCCTGCTACCTTTAAAGGGGAATGGACGATGTCTTGGCAAAACTCTTCTCTAACTTCTGGGACCAGCGATAGTGATCATGGCAGGACCTACAGCCTCAAAGAGCCACGCCCTGGAGGGAAACAGGAAGCATGAGTTTAAGGCCACCAAGGGAAAGTAGAGAAGTGAAGGTGGCAGCAGTGGCTGCTGGGAGAAGGCCATGAGCCACCAAGACCAAGGAGGATCAGTGATCTGGGAAGTGGAGCATTTTCCAGTGGGGAGCTAGAGGCAGGCTGCTGCAGTGCCATTCTGCCCTTTGGTGCCCAGGACTGATGAGCCTGGGCTCACAGGGCCCCATCATAACCCCTCTGCACTTCCCAGGCCCCTTCCTTAGGCTGGTGGCATCTCATCCTTGTGTAGCTATGTTGCTGTTGCGCTCTCTTGCTCTTTCCTGGGCGCCTCTGTAGGTGTAAAACCAGAATGTTCCAGACCCCTGGGACACATACACCTTTTCTCTGCACATTTTGAGAGCCGCTTTCCTGAGAGTCAGGACAGGCTGGGCATGGTGGCTCACGGTTGTAATCCCAGCACTTTGGGAGGCTGCGGTGGGAGGATCTCTTGAGCCCAGGATTTCAAGACCAGCCTGGGCAACAGAAGAGACCCAGTCTCTACAAAAAACAAGAATAATTACCTGGGTGTGGTAGTGTGCACCTGCAGTCCCGGCTACTCAGGAGGTTGAGGGGGGAGGCTCGGTTGAGCCTGGGAGATTGAAGCTGCTGTGAGCCATTACAGCGCCACTGCACTCCAGCCTGGATGACAGAGAGACAGACCCTGTCTCAACAACTAAAAAAGAGTCGGGATAACTGTCTGAGTTGTCCAGATTTGGTATCTTTGGCCATTCTGCAATGGCCCTCCCTCAAAATGATGCCATTTCACCCCTGCCACTTGTCACTCTGCTGTTCGTCAAAATGAAGACCAGAGCACGGTAATACCCACTTTGTTTTCTCTTCTAGATTATGTGAGAGAAAATTCTCATCAAGTTAATAACTTATTGAACCTTTGTATCTTAAATTCTCGATTTTAATTCCTTCAGTGAATGGACTTGTCATCTTGATGCTGCTGTGACTTCTTTTTCTTAGGCCCCTAGCTCAGGGCTGAGACTCTCCAGATGCTGTTATGTATTATACAATTTGGGTTGCTATGGTGCTGGAAATGGCCTGTAAATGCTGAAATCCTGAGATTGCATGGTGCCTCTTAGAGAGAGAATGACATGTTATGCATGGATTTGGGTTATGGGTAGATTTAACCTCCGTGACATCAGAGATGTGATTTGGTGGTTCTCATCCTCTTCAGATCCTAATCTGATCACCTTCTTGATTGTGTCAGTGGACTGAGTTATAATAGATTGTTCAGATAGCCAAATAACCCATTTGATAAAAGGATGCTGGACTCAAAGCTGCCGGATGCAGTTTTTCCTAATCTTGATTGTTCATTGCATTTCCAAGCTCTGCAGCTGCTTGTTGCCGTCAGCGAAGAAGTCCGTCTGGAATGGGGGTTGGTGACTATAAATCTCCAAAGATGCAGCCCCCTCTGCTTAGCTCATCATCTTCCATTCCTCTGCTCCCTCCAGCAGCAGCCTCCTGAGCCCTTATCACCATGCTCAGGGCACCACCCCCGAGGCTGGAGGAGAGCCAACCCTGGTCATGGGAGATTTATGCAGCCTCAGGAAAGGGGCTCCATTGCTCCTCGTGTCCCACCTCTTCACCCTAAGCCAGCGGACAACCATTTGTCAGACACATTGGGTGTAGACACATTTGTTATGGATATACTGGAGGTGTTCTAATGCCCTCATGCACCCTTTTCTAGCCATGCCCCCAAAGCCCTGGCAAAGGGAGGGAGAGCTAGGTAGGCATGTTTGCATTAGGTGTCTCAGCTCTTAGCCAAAGATGATTGAATAAGGAGGCCCCTCATCTATGCTGATTCCATCAAACTCTCCAGAATTCGAGCCAGTGTCTCAATGCCTGAGTCACGTGGCTCTAGTACTGTGCTGGGTGCTGGTGGCTGTCGTGGAGCTGCATGTAGGCCCATTCTGGGTGCCTTTGGGCTTGGACCTTGGGTCCTCTTAGCATCTGCTTTGGGGCAGCTCCTTGTGTGTGCTCACTGGGACTCACCCCTTGACTCTCTTCACTTTCGTCCCCTGGGTAGGGCACCACCTAAACCCCTGTCCACGATACTCACCGGGGCCCATTGGCCTACTCCTGGCCTTACTCTTTTTTTTGTTTTGTTTTGTTTTGTTTTGTTTGAGACAGAGGTTCGCTCTTGTTGCCCAGTCTGGCCCACCACAACCTCCACCTCCCGGATTCAAGCGATTCTCCTGCCTCAGCCTCCTGAGTAGCTGGGATTACAGGTGCACACCACCACGCCTGGCTAATTTTTGTATTTCTTTTTTT